CTGCGGAAGCCAGCGGAAGAGCGGTGGAATGGCGGCGGAAGCAAAAGATGCACCCCCAAGAGATGAAAACGTTTTTGTGCTCAGGGTTTCCGGAATCCGTCACCTATCCACTCGTCCCTGGCCAGGCCCATCCTGAACCCAGGAGCTGTGTGCACGCCCTCCTGGCCGAGCCGGGAGGGCGTGGCACCGCTGCTGGGTTGAGGGCGGGCTTGGCCTGGGAACAGTGAATATGTACAGATTTCGTCGCCCGATGAAGGGGGTGACCTACGGGGGGGGGTGAAGAAATGGGCCCTAAAGGGTCCCTTTGGGGCCCACTTGGAACCAGCAGGGACCCAAAGGGGGCCCCAGAGGGCCGTTTTTCTTCACCCTTCGATTGGGTCACCCCATATTACCACCCGCCTTGTTTTTCACCCCCGATTTGGTTCACCCCCCACTGCCACCCGCCCGATGCTTGGAAACAAGACCGAGCAACCTGGGGAATCCAGTGAGGAAGCAAGGCCAGGCCTCCCAGGGAATGCAGCAAGGAAGCAAGACCAGGCCACCCGGGGAATGCAGCAAGAAAGCAAGACCGAGCTACCCGAGGGACGCAATAGGGAAAGAAAGCCTAGCTACCCGAGGGACACAGACAGGGAACAAGACCAAGGAACCCCTCTGCAACTCCACAGTACCCTGGCTCTGGATCCGCCGTACTTTGGGCGATTTCGTGAGGAGGGAGAAAATGTCGACCCTACTTCTCGGGCTCCTTTGTTATTGATTTCCGCCCTGGAATTCCGCCGCTGGTTCCGCCTTACGTATTTCTGTGGAAGTTTCAACATGCGTAGGGCGGGAATGTCCGCGCCTTATTTTCCTGAGGCGGGACTTTCTGCCCTGATTGCTTCCAACGAGATGCATGTCTGATACAATTCAGAGTAAGGTGGATGTTGAGTCAGGGTCTTCCCTGGGGGCGGATGCCCAGCGCTACTTGCAGCTTATAGGCAGCCAAGAGGGACACGGACCCGCAACGCAAGTGAAAAAAACTGTTTTTTTGTTCCGTCGTTTGGATGTTTTGGGGGGCCCTCGCCAGGCTTCGGGACCGTCAAAAAGCAAACTGAGAGGATAAACCCGTCCCTGGGAAGTGGTGCAGACTCTGGTGACCCCGTACTGAGAGAATCAAGGCGTCGGAGGTTGGGGAGCGATGGCCTTTGAGATCCGGGCGTTGCATTTTTCTGCACTGGTGTTTTCGCCAGGTTCCGGGCCTCGGGACCACCACAGGTCGATCCGACCAGAAAAATGCAGCAGAACGATGGGGTCTAGGATTTTGGTCGTGATTGTTCGCGGTGTTGCAAGTATGTCGCAACGCGGATCTCATTGGAGGGGGGTGTATCATAGCCAGGGCCACGATATCTCACCGGATCTCATGGCCCTTCTGATTTCAACACCGCTGTTTCCCCTCGCCCCCCCTGGCCTCGTGGTTTGCCAGCCCCCCCTCTTTGACGCCCCCCTCGTGGACGCCCCCCCATCAGGATCAGAAAAAAGGGTTTGGGGAGCGTTCGGGTCGGTCGAGCCCCTTCTCGTGATGCCCCAGAGTCGATGATCCTCAGAACGTGACACGTTCTGAGGATCATCGACTCTTATCACAGTTGGGGCTAACACAGTGTTAGCCCCAACGTGTGTTTGTTTATCGAGGGCCTTCGATGCGACGCAGGCGATGTAAGGATCTACTGGTTGGGCTGAAGCGGACAAACACAGATTGGGCTAACACACGTCCTGAGGATCATCGAAAGAGGCCCTCGCAAGTACCGATCTGAATCGTGTTGTGGCCCTGAGGGCAGGTCGGTGCTCGGGCGGCCCTGGTGGCACTCTAGCAGCACCCTCGCGACCCAGCGTTGCTCTGGCTGCTCTGCTGTTCCCAGGCCCACCGCTGCAGCGGGCGGATCGAGTGAGAGGCCCGCCTGCCAGCGGATGCCCCAGGGAAATGTCTTGTCCCTCGATTGCCTTGGGTGTCCGCAGAGGCCTTGGGGCACCCGAGAAGGCTCAGAGGTCGTCGACCAACGTGCCTATAGATTTTTGTTTAGGGGGGGCATTTCTTGCTGCCCACCTTGGTTCGTAAGAAACGATCGATGCCGCTGCCCTCGAATAGGCAAGCACTGCGTGAACATCTGCTCGCGGGGGCTCGTGCGGATTTCGTGGATCGGCGCTGGATGGGGCGCCCAAGAGAACTCCTCGGGGACCTCCGATGTTGCATGCTCACGCAGTGTGTTCTTCAACGCGCCCGCCATTCGTCGCCACGGCTGGGAATCGCTTCGCAATATGGGGGCAGAGCGCACGCCAAAGAGAGGTCCAGGGAGCATCGGCGTGTCGGCATCTGTTGGGCCCCCCACCGGTCTGCCGCCTACCCCGAGTTTCTTAGTTAGCGTCGGGGGGCGTCACCTCGACCCCTTTTGCGGGCGGCCACCGCGCGCCAAAGGCGCTCCGACCCCCGTCGCGGCGCGATGTCGAGGCGACCCCCCCCACGCTTATCAAGAAACCCAGAGTGCCCTCTGCACCTCATTCTCGGGCTCCTCGTCCTCGTCTTTCCGCGGCTGCGGCCCGCGCTCCTCCCCGTGGCCGCGCCTGCTCGCCTCTCGCGGCCGGGCGCTTGGCCAGAGGCCCGCTGGGGCCCTGCGTGTTCGTGGCCTTCGCCGCACCCCTCCTGCACGACGACTGACGACTGACGACGACGACGGCGACGATGACGACGACGACGACGACGACGACGACGACGACGACGACGACGACGACGACGACGACGACGACGACGACGACGACGACGACGACGACGACCGCCGACCACGACGACCGCCGACCGACGACCGACGACGACCGACCGACGACGACCGACGGGCGGCGGGCGGCGCGGACCCGCTCTCGGCGCACGGCACGGCACGGCGCCTCGGCGCACGGCAGCGGCGCACCCAGCCAGCGGCGGCACGCCGCGCACGCGGCGCACGGCACGGCACTGTGCCCTGTGCCCAGACCTTCTGCTCGTGCGGGCGTGCCCCGGGGCCGCTCGGGTCTTGGGCTGTGCCCGCTGGCATCCTCCCCTTGCTGCTTCCGAAGGAGGGGAAGGGGCATAAACGTAAACTTTCGGCGCTCCGCGCGTGTTTCCTGGATCCGCGATGGGCCCCCCTGGCGGCGCCTCCGGCGCCGCCCCTGGCGCGCTCCGCGCGCCAGGGAGGGGGGTCCGGCGCAGATCCGAGAAATCTGCGCGGACCGTCGAAAGTGATTGTTTATGTCATTAGTCTTCCTCTATGTTTCTGTCATCTATGTGAATGCTATCTTAAGTTACTTCCATCTATGTTCATGTTCTCTGTTGTGTTTTATGCCACTTGGCATTCCTCTATGCTCATCTTCCATCTATGCTTATGCCTTTTTTGTCTTTCCTCTATGCTCATGCCATTTTTGCCCATGCTTATGCTTATGCTCATGCCATCTGTTCTTCCTCTAGGATTCCGCGGCGCCCCGCCCAGGGTCGAGGAGGCGGCCACGCGCCGTGCATGGCTGCACCCTTTGGGCACCCAGGGTCCACGCGCGATGCTCTGGCCGTGGTCGCGTGGGGTCGGCGAGCGAGCAGAGGAGGACAGGTGTTGGAAGGGGGGGCTGCCCCCCGCCTCCGCCTCCTCGTCCTCCTCGTCCTCGTCCTCCTCCTCCTCCTCCTCCTCCTCCTCCTCCTCCTCCTCCTCCTCCTCCCTCCCTCCCTCTCTCCCTCTCTCCCTCCCTCCTCCTCCTCCTCCTCCTCCTCCTCCTCCTCTCCTCCTCCTCCTCCTCCTCCTCCTCCTCCTCCTCCTCCCCCCTCCTCCTCCCTCCTCCTCCTCCTCCTCCTCCCCTCCTCCTCCTCCTCCTCCTCCTCCCCTCCTCCTCCTCCTCCTCCTCCTCCTCCCTTCCTCCTCCTCCTCCTCCTCCTCTCCTCCTCCTCCTCCCCTCCTCCTCCTCCGCCTTCCTCCTCCTCTCCTCCTCCTCCTCCTCCTCCTCCTCCTCCTCCTCCTCCTCCTCCTCCTCCTCCTCCTCCCTCCTCTACCACCGCGCACTTGACGAGCGTCTGGGCCACCGGCAGCCAGGAGCGGGTCTCTCCGGGGGGCGCAGCGCCTCCTGCGAGAGGCGCCACGGGTGAGGAGACGTCGCGACAGTGCGGAGGGAGAGAGCAGGAGCTCCACCCTCAGAAGGATCCACCCTCGTAAGGATCCACCCTCGTAAGAAAAAAATCTCACGACCGGCGGCTTTCCCACTTTTCGCTATCCTCTGCCTTCGGGGGCCCCTGCTGGGCCTCGGGACCTTCAAAGAACGACCCCGGACGAAAAGCCCGTCCCAGAGAAGGGGTCCAGACCTCCAGGGGTCGACCCTCAGAGAGAGCAGACAAAATCCACCCTCGTAAGAGTCACCCCGACACGCGAAGCCGAGCAGAGCCAGGCCTCCCAGGTGGGGTCCAGGCAGATGGGGTCGGAGGATCGCGCCGCATCGCCGGTGCATCGACGGTGCGGCTCGATGTGGAGCCCGTGTTTCCCCGCGCCGACGTCGCCGATGCATTGCCGACGTCGCCGATGCATCGCCGATACATCGGCGATGCATTGGTGATACGGCGCGATCCTTCGACCCCATCGACTCGGACCCCATCTAGGAGGCCTCGAGTAGAAGAGGGCAGGTGTTGGAAGTAGCGAATTAGTGGTCCTCCAGTCTCCTCGTCGTATGCTTCTCATCACGTTGATCCCACCTCTCCTTCCACTTCTCCGCCTCTTCCTCTATACTGTTTATTGTGCTCGTCATCGTCGTCCTCCTCCCCGTTTCTTCTCTCTCTCTCTGATCTCTGGCTCAACTAGATTAACTACGTCGCCATCACGGGCAGAGCAAGATTTATACCTGCATCTCTCCTCCCACCTCGGCCTCCTTGTCCTTTGGTCAATCCTCGTCTTTGCCGTACTCATCTTACATACGTCTCTTCCAACCCTTCTTTCCACTTCCCCGTCCTCATCGAAATCCATGCTGGGTCAAGCCACTTTGCCCCGCTGTAGCACCCAGCTGGAGCAAGCAAATACTCACCCAGTACACGAGAGATTACCCGTAACTCGTAACTCATCTTTTGGGGCACACTTGTGTGTTCCTTTCCCACTCTAGCACCCCAGACACTTCGCAATGGCGCAGTCGCTGGTCGAGAAGGTCTCCTCCATCCGGCGTTCCCAGCACGGGCCCGTCGTGTGTGTCCTCCTGCTCCTGATCCCGTTCTGCCTCTGTGACATGTTTGCCAGTGAGATCGTCAGGAATTTCCAGACCGAGCTCATGACCTTGCTGCTGCTGGCCGCTGCCTACTTCGTCGGTTTTTCCGACGCGAATGCGCGACCACACGGAGCGCCAAACGGGAAGGCGGTTGCAGCAAAGAAGATGTCGCCGCCGAAGGCTGCGCCCCCAGCTGGCGACTATCAAGCCAGGCAGCAGCCAGTCAGGACCGTGGGGCGTTTGGCATCGCAGATCCCTCGTAACGCCACTGGTGTTTCTGGTCCGCCCAAAGACGCATGGAGCTCCCAAGAAGAGGCTCACGAGGCCATCAAGAGGCTGTCGCCCATGAAGGTATCAGAGCAGAAAGAAGCAGATATGCAGGTTCTCGCCCAGGCAAAACAGGGTCATATTGCCCCAGATGCTTCGACATACTCCAAGATCATGGACGCTTGCAATCGGTTGAACCATGTGGAGATGGCGCTGGAATTGTACAGTGAAATGCTTCAGAAGGGCGTCCCCTACGACACCGAGCATCAGTTGATAAGCAGCCACATCGTGAGCAAATTCTTCAAGCTCGTCGCAGAGAACCTCGACGAGAAGCGCATGAGGGAGACAGGACTCCAGCTTCTGGATATAATTCAAGCTCATAAGGTGGCGCCGACAAACGCAGTCCAGAATTGCCTCATCTGCTCTTGGAAGAGCAAGCTTCCAGACGATGTGTTGAAGGTCTTTGTGAAGCTGAGGGCGCAGGGCGTCAGTCTCAGCTCGACAGCGTACCGTTGCATCATGGCTGCTTACGAGCGAACCGAGCCGGAGCGCACACTGAAGCTCTACGACGAGATGGTCGAGCGAGGGGTCAAGCTTGACAGGGTGGCGTATAATGCCGCGCTGTGCGCCTGTTCGCATCTCGGCATGGCTGACCAGGCCCTGGAGCTGTTTGAGAAGATGCCCGAGCACTCGCTGGTTCCCAACGGCAAGACCTATGGCGCAGTGATCAAGGCCTGCACCTCCACCGGCAAGATGAAGGAGGCCGTGGACCTCTTCGACTCCATGCGCGAGGCGGGCATCGAACCCAATCAGTTCGCCTTCCACGACGCGATCCAGAGCTGTGTCAGGATACGAAGGGTTGGGAGGGCTGTCGCCCTGTACGGTGAGATGGCCCGGGCGGGCGTGCCCCCGTGCGACAAGACCTTCGCATACCTGAGCAAGGAGTGCCTCAAGCGTGGCCTCAAGGAGATCGCGGACCAGATCTCGCAGGACTCGACCAACACAAATAGCACTACGGTAGGTTCGCTTCGTGTCGACCGGCGGCGACCCCGCCGCCAGCGTTCGACGTTGAACGCCGCCAGCGACCCAGAATCGCTCGATGTCGAACGATCTGACGTTTCGGAAACGGCCGATCTTTCAAGGTTGAACGAACGCCGCGGCGTCAGGACCCAACGCCAGGGTTGGCACGACACGAACCTACTGTACACACGCATTAACTTTCGGAGCTCCGCGCGGCTTTCTTGGGTCGATCCCTCTCCCCAGCGCGCGGATCGCGCCAGGGGCGGCGCCGGAGGTGCCGCCAGGGCGAGTCCAGCGCCGATGCAAGGAATCCGCGCGGAGCTCCGAGAGTGTATGTTCATGCAGGAATCCGTCGGCCGTCGGCCGTCGGTCGACGCGGGGCGGCAAGGGGCGCGGGGGGGGGAGCACAAAGTGGCAGAGGCGGAAGTTTACGGCCGCGTCGCGCCGCCGGTTGTGGCCCACCACGCTTCGGCGCGACACGCTGTCCGTTTCGGGGCCGCTGGGGCGTCCAGGTCCCGAGGCCTCTTCCCAGCCTCCCGCCCCGCGGGAGCGGGGCGGCGCCACCCGCTTGCAAGGCACGGCGTGTCGCCCAGGGCCGCCGCCGCGACACGGCGTGCACGAGTTCCCGACCGTACGTGTCCGTATGCCTGCTGCGTTCGCTCGCATACGTAGTTGTTGTCTCTTCCTCCGCAGGCCTCGCCGATGGAGGAGCCTCTCCGATGGAGGACTTTGCTCATGCAGTCGCACATCTATGTAGTGGGCTTCGTAGAAGGCGTGCGCGCGACCAGCGCGCCTCTGCCTCCCTTTTGCAGGGACGCCGGCTCCCCGGCGACGGCAGCTTAGCTTCGTTCGTTCGTGCGTCCGCTGCTCCGCAGGACGGCGCCGACAGCAAGGCCGCGCAGGCGCGGGGCGAGCGGCCGCCGGCGCCGAGGCCCCCGCCGGGGCTCGAGGAGCTGCTGCGCCGCGAGGGCACGGAGGCCCCCGCTCGGCCCGGGGTCCGACGAAGGCGTCTGCACACCACCACCGTGCCAGGCCAGGGCCATCCTGGGCCCCAGGATGTGGTGTAGAGAGCTTCCTGGGCCTCGGCCAGGAGTGCGTGCAACACCATGCCAGGGCCAGGATGGCCCTGGCTTGGCACGGTGGTGGCGTACCGATGCCTTCTGCGCACGGGGCTGCCCGGGGGGCGGGGGGGGGGGGGCTGCCGGCGCGCGGCCTCTTCGTCGGGGAGGGCCGCCGTCGAGGCAGCGGCGGTCCTCCCGGGGGGGGCTTCTCGTCTCCGCGGCCTCCGCGGGGGGCCTCCCGGAGGCTCCTCGTCGCCGACGCTGGATCTCCGCCGCGAAGGGCCGGCGCAGGGGGGGTTCGGGGACCGCCTCTGAGCGGACCTGGGCCTCGTCTCCACTGGCACTCCTCCCATGCCGGGGGCTGGTGGAGCGCCCACTCTGCCAGGGCGATCGGCGAGTGCGCCTGCGGGGGGCCCTCTCTGTCTTCTCGAGGGGGGCCTCGCGCGGCCGCCATGTCTGCCGTACCCGCGCCCGGCGGGGCTTTTTCGGCCCCCCGAGCGGCCTCACTGGAGAGTGGTTCGCTGGAGGTGGCTAGGAGGAGGAGGGAGGAGGGAGGAGGGAGGAGGAGGGAGGAGGAGGGAGGAGGAGGGAGGAGGGAGGAGGGAGGAGGGAGGAGGAGGGAGGAGGAGGGGGGAGGAGGGAGGAGGAGGAGGGAGGAGGAGGAGGAGGAGGGAGGAGGAGGGGGAGGGGGAGGAGGGAGGAGGAGGGAGAGGAGGGGGGAGGAGGGGGAGGGAAGGAGTAGGAGTAGGAGTCAAGCTAGCCAGCTCGAGCGAGTCAAGCATGGCATGCCCAGTCCCACCCGCCCTCCCACAACATAAGAAGCAAAGCTGGCACAACTGGGGGCCGAAGTCACACCGGCCAGCCGGTTTGGTACAGCTGATGCGGCCGCGATGGCGGTTGCCGACGGGAACTGGCGAGCGCGTGTTGAATGCCGCGCACGCATTGCCAGACGAGTCGAGAATGGCCCGGTACACCGCAGGCCCCAACTTGTACTGTTTTTTTATAAAGGGGGGGTTTGGATGGGCGGGCGCGGGGTGTGCGCCGCATCCCATTCCTGCCAAGCATTTTGCGACGTGGACGACAGGACGTCCATGCTGAGAGGAAAAACGTTGGTGCGCGGCGCCGAGGCGAGAGCGACATGTCACCCCTTCGCGCGGGGTGTGCGCCGCGTCCCATTCCTGCCACGCATTTTGCGACGTGACGACAGCACGACCATGTTGACAAGAAAAACAAAAACTGTGTATTGTCTTTTGCAGATTAGAATGGGACGGATTGGATGGGCGGGCGCGGGGTGTGCGCCGCGTCCCATTCCTGCTATGCATTTTGCGACGTGGACGACAGGACGTCCATGCGACGGTGCCAATGACGGCGACGACTCTAGAAGGATTTGAGCATGCGCTCGCGGCGACGCGCGCGCATGTCGCCCGCGTGGTATTTTTTGCACAGGATTCGCGGCCTGGGTGCATGACAGAGCATCGCGAGTGCACCGCGCGATGACGTGAAATCGCTGGATTTGACCGAATTCTTAAGATTCCTATGGTTTTCCTATGATTTCAGCAAGAGAGCCCGGGCAGGAAATTTGTAGATTTTTTGTGAAAAAAAGCATTGGGTTTTTGATGTTTTTATGTTGAAATGCTTGCAAACACACGGTGTTCGGTAGGATTCTGACATGAACGCGCGCGTGTGCTCTTTGTGGTATTTTTTGCAATGGATTATCGCCGTGGACGACAGGACGTCCATGTCGAGAGGAAAAAAATAAGAAAAATGTTGATTTTGTATTGTTTTTTACAGGTTAGGATGGGACCACCCGGATGCGGCCCCTATCGGCCGGCCTGAGGGGGGAGTAGGAGTATATTCTAATAATAAGGAATAAGGATAGGAGTCAAGCTAGCCAGCTCGAGCGAGTCAAGCATGGCATGCCCAGTCCCACCCGCCCTCCCACAACGTAAGAAGCAAAGCTGGCACAACTGGGGGCCGAAGTCACACCGGCCAGCCGGTTTGGTACAGCTGATGCGGCCGCGATGGCGGTTGCCGACGGGAACTGGCGAGCGCGTGTTGAATGCCGCGCACGCATTGCCAGACGAGTCGAGAATGGCCCGGTACACCGCAGGAAGCCAGAGGTGGCCGGAGGAAGCCCGACGGTCTGACAGGACACCCCAAGGGGGCCCAGGAGGCCCCAAGAGGCAGGAGTAGTAGTACCAGTGGTAGTGGTGTTGGTAGTGGTAGTGGTAGTAGTAGTAGTAACAGTCAAGTAGCGCGCGGGGTGTACGCGCGTACACTAGCACAGTTTTTATTGTGACAGCAGTACGATATGACAGAGAAACAAAAACTGTGTATTGTCTTTTGCAGATTAGAATGGGACGGATTGGATGGGCGGGCGCGGGGTGTGCGCCGCGTCCCATTCCTGCCATGCATTTTGCGACGTGGACGACAGGACGTCCATGCGACGGTGCCAATGACGGCGACGACTCTAGAAGGATTTGAGCATGCGCTCGCGGCGACGCGCGCGCATGTCGCCCGCGTGGTATTTGTTGCACAGGATTCGCGGCCTGGGTGCATGACAGAGCATCGCGAGTGCACCGCGCGATGACTTGAATTCGCTGGATTTGACCGAATTCTTAAGATTCCCATGGTTTTCCTATGATTTCAGCAAGAGAGCCCGGGCAGGAAATTTGTAGATTTTTTGTGAAAAAAAACATTGGGTTTTTGATGTTTTTATGTTGAAATGCTTGCAAACACACGGTGTTCGGTAGGATTCTGACATGAACGCGCGCGTGCGCTCTTTGTGGTATTTTCTGCAATGGATTATCGCCGTGGACGACAGGACGTCCATGTCGAGAGGAAAAAATAAGAAACATGTTGATTTTGTATTGTTTTTTACATGTTAGGATGGGACCACCCGGATGTGGCCCCTATCTGCCGGCCTGAGGGGGGAGTAGGAGTATATTCTAATAAGGAATAAGGATAGGAGTAGGAGTAGGAGTAGGAGGAGGCGGAGGAGGAGAAGGAGGAGGAGGAGGAGGAGGAGGAGGAACCGATTTGTGGGGGGGGGGGGGGCGGGCGCGCGGGGGGGGGGGCAAACCCCAGGCAGGCAGGCCGCTCCGGCCCGCGTCGCACGCCGCGGATCTGCACGCCGCGCGCCAGAGGCCACTTCTTGCCCGCATGGCCGCTCCTCCCTGACCTGGATCCGCTGTGCTTTTCGGGGTGATTTCGCAAGTGCAGTGGAGACCCATGCCAAGAAACACCCTGCTTGCCTCCAGGGTGCCCCCTGGGTTTCTTGGGTTTTGATGGTTTTGCGATGGAGAGTGTGCCGTTCCCACACCAAAAATCCATGGACGTCCTTGGGTCTCAGGGTTAGGTGTCTTGTGGAAGGTTTCTTGCTGTCGGGCCCCACTGTGGGGTGACAATCTCCGCCCTACTTTTCGAGCTCCTTGACTGCCGACCCCCGCCCTTCTCTGCCGTCGCTGTTTTTGCCAGGCCCGTGCGGAACTGCCCGCCCCGCTCCTCTGGGGTGGAAAGTTCCGCCCTGCCCGTCCGCATCGTTTGGGGCGCATGTCCAGCACACCTCTGAGTCGGAAAGGCCACCAGAGTACAGCGGCGGATCCGAAGTCACGGCTGCGCGTTGCCGCCCCCGCGCAGGCCGCCGGCGACGCCGTGGACGCGGGGCCCGCGTGAGGCGCCACGGGGTGCCCGCGCGGCACGGAGCTCCTCGCCCGGTGGCCGCCTGCCCGCCAGCGCCCGCGTAAGCCTCCTGCCCCGCGGGGCACGGAGCGGCGCGGCGCCGCTCGCTGACAGCCAGAGCCCTGCGGCGGGGATGCAGCAGCCCATCTCGTGGTCACCCCTGCGCCCTGGCCTCTTGCCCAATCCTAGGGGAACGAACACTGACACAAACAGTTAAGAACTCGGAGGTCCACGCGGACTTCTCGGATCCGCGCTGGCCCCTCTGGCGGCGCTTCCGGCGCCGCCCCTGGCGCGCTCCGCGCGCCGGGGAGGGGGTGTCGAGCGCCGATCCGAGAATCCGCGCGGACCTCCGAGGTTGTTTGCTTATGCCATTGCTTGTTCCCCTATAGTCACCCCTGCGCCCTGGCCTCTCGATCAAAATCGCCCAATCCACGGCCATAGTCAAGTAGGGCGCTTGAGCACACGCATCTGGGCTTCGGCGGGGGCCCCGTCGTACCAGCTGCTAGGCTGGGCTCAGCTCCGAAGACCTTTGGGTGCTGTGGACAAGTGGAGGAGGGTGTCCGGGGACCGAATTTTTGAGCGGATGAGGCCTTCTTCCCCCCTCCAGCTCCTCTCATCCTCTCCTCCTCCTCCTCCACCATTCTCCTTCCTCCATTATCCTCCTCCTCCTTCCTCCTCCTCCTTCCTCCTCCTCCTCCCTCCACCTCCTCCTCCTCCTCCTCCTCCTCCTCCTCCTCCTCCTCCCTCCTCCCCTCCTCCCTCCTCACTCCTCCTACCTTCCTCCTCCTCCTTCCTCTTCCCTCCTCCGCCTCCTCCTCCTTGCTTCATCTAACTCCTATCCCCTACTTCCTGCTGCTCCTTGCTCCTCCTACGTCCGGCCCCTCCTCCTCCTCACCCTCCTACCTCCTCCCTCCCCTCCTTCCTCCTTCTCCTCCAATCTCTCCTCCTCCTTCCTCCTCCTCCACCTCCTCAACTCCTCCTCCACTCCTCCTCACTCCTCCTCTCCTTCCTCCTCCGTCCTCCTCCTCCTTCCTACCTCCTCCCGCCTCCTCCCCTCCTTCCCCCCCCTCCTCCTTCCCCCCCCCCCCCTCCTTCCCCCTCCCCTCCCCCACCTTCCTCCTACCTCCACCAATCCTCCCCCCCTCCCCCATCCCCCCCTCCCTCCTCCTCCTCCCTCCTCGTCCTCCTTCCCCTCCTCATCCTCCTCCTTCCTCCTCCTCCTCCACTCTCTCTCCTCCTCCTCCTCCTCCTCCTCCCTCCTCCCTCCTCCCTCCTCCGACATGGGTCCTGGAGTCGTTGGCCGAATGCCGCTGCAGCGGTCTCCGCTGGGGCGACCCAGGGGCCCTGTATCCCTTGCCCCGCACTCTGCCTGTTGAGGCTTTGGCCGTGCTGCGGCCCTGCCCTGGTGGATCTGCCCTGCTCCCGAGGAGGGGGAGGAGGAGGAGGGAGGAGGAGGAGGAGGAGGAGGAGGACGAGGAGGAGGAGGAGGAGGAGGAGGAGGAGGAAGAGAAGGAGGAGGAGGAGGAGGAGGAGGGGAGGAGAGGGAGCAGGAGGAGGAGGAGGAGGAGGAGGAGGAGGAGGAGAATGAGGAGGAGGAGGAGGAGGACCAGTGTAAACCAAAGAGTTATCAACGATGTTGGAGTAAACGCTCCCTCCAAGCTCCCCATAGGCCCCTACAACGGTTCATTTCCATTGATGGAACATAGTACTGCCTCGTTGGGAGACACCCGTTTTAAGACTCTGAAGCATGCCAAACAGTGTTCTCGGGATTCCAGCGCCACGGATCAACCTGACTGTTGCGTCTTGGCGATCCCGAATCGTACCATAACGCCATTCCTAGGATTTCAACACAGAGAACCAACGGAACTCCTGCACCCGCATACTTTTGATTTCTTCCAAAAACGCCATTTCTGGCACGTTGATGATAGGAATTTCTGAAACTCATGAACGTGTTAAACGAATGTGCGCCGTGCTAATGCGAGAGCCACATTTTGAAAACAATTCGCCCTCAATCCGTTCAGCTTATGAGTTTTTTATACCAAAAAGCGAATGTGCGCCGCGCTTAGGCGAGAGCCACATTTTGAAAACGATCCGCCCTCAGTCCGTCAAATTCTTGCAGATTTTGCAGATTTGAAAAGAAAAAAAACGAGTGTGCGCCGCGCTAAGGCGAGAGCCACATTTTGAAAACCACCCGCCCTCCATCTGTGAAATTGTTGACACCTTTTAAGCTTCAGAGTTATACATGGTGAGGAAGTCTCAGGCGAAACGCCCGGCCCACCTTAAAAACGGGCCTCGGGTGCGACAGGGAGAAGTTATTTATAAGGAAAGGGAATGGAGAAGGAGGAAGAGGAGGAGGAGGACCCAGAGTTCTGACGGCTCGATAATTTTGGAGTCGCCAGCCCCCGGATTTCTCACCCCTTTCCCCCGGGGCCAGATTTCATCCTGAGCAGCTCTTTACGGCCCTGGGGCTCCGAAAACGGTCGCCCCTGGATGCGGAAAGCTGCGGAGGACCGTCGGCGCAAGCTATCTCTAGCCGCCAGAGGTCTGGGGAGGAGGAGGAGGAGGAGGAGGAGGAGGAGGAGGAGGAGGAGGAGGAGGAGGATCGAATAAGAAACAAGTGTATACGCATAGACTTTCGGAGGTCAGCGCGGATTTCATGGGTCGGCGCTGGACCCCCCTCCCTTGGGCGTGGAGCGCGCCAGGGGGTCCAGCGCCGGTCCAACGAGTCCGCGAGGACCTCCGAGAGGTTGTGCTTATGCTGTTTTTCGACGCAGGGGCCGCACCGTTTGTGGGTTCTCGGAACGCACGCGCGCCTTGGAGCGGGCACCCCCCGTCGGAGGGAGTGCCGGGCGGGAGGAGGGGAGAGGGAGAGGGAAGCCTCCTCTGGTGCGTGGGGAGGGAGGCAGGGCGTCATCGGGGCAGGAGGGGAGGAGGAGGAGGAGGAGGAGGAGGAGGAGGAGGAGGAGGAGGAGGAGGAGCGGGACCAGTATAAGCCCAAGACGCGTCAACGGTGTTGCAATAAACCCTTCGTCCGAGTTCCCTCTTCATGGATCCCTACATTGCCGGAAGTGCCCCGTTGAAAGACCACCTTTTGGGAGCCTTCTGTCGTACCAGGGCGAAGCTCCCGGGACTTCAGCACCGTGAATAAAGGGGACTGCCGCCCCCTGGCAATCCCAGAAAGCGTGCCAGAACGCCGAAACTAATGCAAGTTTTGACGACGAATGTGCGTGACTCTAAAACGAGGGCCGCATTTTGAAAAGGGCCCGCCCTCCGTCCCTGAAGCTGTTACATATTTTAAGACGAGAGTGCGCGGCGCTAATGCGAGAGCCACATTTTGAACATCTGCCGCTCTCTATCCTTGAAACTAATGCAAATTTTGAAGACTAATGCGCGTGACGCTAAGGCGGGAGTCACATTTTGAAAAGGGACCTGCCCTCCATCCTTGAGCCTGCTGCGAATTTCAAGGTTCAGGATCATAGAAGTTGAGGGGTCCCAGGCGAAACGCCCGGCCCGCCCTACTGACACGTCTGGAGGTGCGACGAGGAGGAGTTGTTGATGTGGAAGAAGGATGCAGCAGGAGGAGGAGGAGGAGAAGGAGGAGGAGGAGGAGGAGAAGGAGATGGAGGAGGAGGAGGAGGAGGAGGAGGAGGAGATGGAGGATGAGGATGAGGTGGAGGAGGAGGAGGAGGAGGAGGAGGAGGAGGAGGAGGAGGAGGAGGAGGAGCAGCAGGGCAGGTGGAGGCAGGAGCTCATCCCGAGACGGAGATAGGACCTGGACACTGCCTCGCAATGCAGGAGGCCCCCGTAGCGCCTTCGGGTCCGCTGTGGCCGCAGTGGCGCCGCGCGCGCGTCCGTTGCCGACACAGCATGACCTGCTTGGCGCAAGACTGGCGTACATCGCGAGCTGCTTGCAGCATGCTGCTGAACGCGATTTGAAGCGTTTGAAGAGATGCAACCCGGCGCTGGGTCCGTGGCGGGGTGGCCGTCCGAAGCGCCCATGGGTGCCCTTGGACAATCAGGCAGATCCTCCCCTCCCCCAGACTTCCGACGCCGTGGTCCTCTCAACCCTGGCGTTATGTTTCCCCCACCTTGGCATCCAAGGGTCTGTTCCGGTCCCCGGGACCTTCGGGCAACTTCTCGAGGCGAGACGCTGGCCCCAGCGACAGTGGTATTCCAAACCCTGGCGTTTTTTTCTCGAGCTTGGCCTCCGAGGGTCGTTTTCGCGCCCCGGGACCTTCGGACCACTTCTCGAGGCGAGACGCAAGAGACGGGGGCCAATGCAGACGGGGGTCAGTCAGAGCGCCAGATCTTGCAGGATCCTGCCAGTCCAGGGGTGCGTTGACCCGGGTTTGGGTGCATGATCTTGCAGGATCTTGCAGGATCCTGCAAGGCCTGACTGACCTGGGTCTGGATTGACACGGGTCAGAAGATCCCCGATCGAGGCGAGACGCTGGCCCCTGGGAAGGGTCGAGAGCTCTGGGGCGCACGGGCCGAGCAGATCACGACGTCGGAGGTCCAGGCCGGCGCGCCCAAATGCAGTCGACATCCCCTGGCCTTTTACCGCTCGGCTTGCTCTGGTCCTCCTTGGGGTGCCTCGAGAGGTCTCCGGGAGCCCCCAGGGCCAGCCAGAGGCGCCCAAAAGGCAAAAGACCAGCAGCACACGTCCAGACATTTCGGCCCTCGACCCTTGATGCTCCTCCTCCTCCTCCTCCTCCTCCTCCTCCTCCTCCTCCTCCTCCATACCCTCCTCCTCATCCTCTTCCTCCTCCCTCTCTCCTCTCCTCTTCTCCTCCTTCTCCTCCTCCTCCTCCATACCTCCTCCTCCTCCTCCTCTCCTGCCCTCCTCCTCCTCCTCCCCCTCCTCCTCCTCCTCATCACCATCATCATCATCATCATCATCATCATCATCATCATCATCATCATCATCATCATCATCATCCCGTCCCGCGGCCCTCGTGCAGTCTCGGGCTCCGTGCCCCGAGTCGGGTCCCCCTCGTCGGTGGCGCGCTCGAGTTCCGCTTGCGCGCGCGTGCGCTTAGCGGCGAGTCGTGATGACGAAACGTGCAGCACGCGTGCAGCTTGATCGTAGTGCACTATACCTAATCGCACATCTGGGGCGTTCCGAAAAGGGCCTTGCCTTCGAGTATCGGAGGAGTTGCCATCTCTTCCGCGGCGGAAGGGCGGCGGAAGGACGCGCGCGTGCGCCTGCGGCGCGCCGTGATTATGAAGCGTGCAGCTCTCGTGCAGCCTGATCGGAGTGCACTACCGTGGTTTTCGAAAAGCAACGCCCATATCGAATACGTGTTGAAGCGGGTCCAATCCCCCGGCCCCAATTCCAAAGTTCGGGGCGGTCGACGCGGGGGAGTGCGAGTCGTTCCGAAAAAATCGCCCACATTTGCAAACCGCTGCCTGCTCTCTTAGATGAACATTGAAATTTGGGGGCGCGGGGGACGCTCTTGCGCCAACTTCTAGGCGTTGTACTTGGGCGTTTTTCGAAAACTCCGGTATACATAATCGCACACATCGGGCGTTCCAAAAAGGGCCTTGCCTTCGAGGTTCGGAGGAGTTGCCAAAAAAAGACTGTGTCGCCGCTTCGCGCAATGCACCTTGGTCCTTGGAGACTGGCATGCAGGCGGAATGGCAGGAAGGTCAAACAGACAATTTAGCGATAACTCCTTGTTGCCTTTTCCGGCATCGCCGTTATAGTAATGTTATTCGTTTTCTTCCTCCATGTTTCTTTTTCTTCATTCTCGCCCTACCCTGCGAATTGTTCCCCATTCGCCTCAGCTCTTTTTACGGAAGCTCCTCCTTGGAGAGCCTCTTGGGGCCTCGCGGAAGTTGTTCAGGCTTTCTTGAGGCTTTCTGGAGGCCTCCTGGGCGTCTTCCGGGGGCCTCTGGGGGCTTCCTCGGGCCACCCTACCTCCAACCGCAGTGTCCCTGAACGACTGGGTCAGGATTTCGAGTGCTTTTGAAGGTGTCTTGGGGCCATCTTTGGCTCTCGGACGCCCAGAAGACCAAGGAACAGGGCATTCCCAAAATCATGCAAAAAACTTTAGAAATCAATGTTTCCCTACGTTTTGGGAGCCTCTTCGGGGTCTTCTTTGGGTCGTCTTCGGGCGTCTGGTGAATGTCTGGGGCCTCTTGGGGCCCTCGGGGGTGCGTTCGGCCGCCCACCTGACCGATTTGGGCCCGTTGCCTAGGCCCAGCAAGGGCTTCCAGGAGCTAAGGAGCGCCTGGGGGGCCTCCTGCAGGGGCGTCCAGGGGGTCCCTGGGGTCACGGATCCGGCGGGTTCCAGAGGGTCCCGGGGCCCAGGATTCGGGGGGTCCGATTTCGGGGGGGGGTCCCCAGGTAATAAAAATATATGAATCGGCATACGGTGCAGGCTATGTCGTGTAGTCTATTTGGTGTGAGCTGGAGGTGAACGGTATGCGGTGTGAGCCATGTGGTTCAAGTCTGAGCTGTGTCGTGTGCAAGCTATACACGGTGCTAGCTGTGCTGTGCGTAAGCAGCGCGCACGGGGCGCCCACGAGGCGGCACGGGCGGCAGCGTTTTTCGCAGCCTCGGCGGACCCACCCCAGCGCACGGGGCGCCCACGAGCGCCCGCGAGGCGGCACGGGGCAGCCACGCTGAGAATCCTCGGCCGACCCGTTCAAGCATGGAGCAACCGAATGCGAGCCCCCTGGGTGCAAACACTGCGCATGGGGAGTGTAGAGGTAGAGATTCGTGGACGCTGCTCAGCAGCCGCGAACCCATAATGCTCCTCGTGCTCCTCCTCGTGCCGTGTCTGCTTGACTGTTCCTGGGCACTCGGTGGCCCTCGGGCCTGCCGACCGGCCCCGGCGCGCTTGGGTGCCCACTTCGAGGCCCGAGAACGGCCACGCAGCGCCCGGTCCCGGTCGCCCCCCGTGGCAAAGGCCCGGGGCGCCCGGGACCCCAAGATCCGCGGGCAGTGCCAAGGGGCCCAGGGGATCGAAGATTTCCCTTTCGGAAGTCGAACCTCCAGTTTGGGTGGATCAAACTCCCCTGTTTGGGAGTTTAACCTCACAGACCGTATGCGATTCAGGTCCCCCCGACGTCATGGTTTTTTCGAAACGTCGACCCCCAGAAGTCTCGACCCATTCCGCAGGACTGGTTTTTCATCCTGAGTCGCTTTTTGACGGTCCCGAGGCCCGGAAAGGGCCCCCAGAGGCAGAAGAGAGCGAACAAAAATCCCGTCGTCATTTTTTAGTGACTCGAGGGGGTCTGGGTCCTGGAGCGGATGAGAGAAAATAGCTTCCAAGAGGGAAGTGGAGCCTCCAAACTTTGGAGGTTCTAGATCCTCCTAAAGGGGGCCACCAGTGGGGTGGGTGGGGGGCCGCCCGCTCCTGCTGCAGACTGCTAAGGCCTCACGGCCGGTGCCGCCGACCCTGAAGACGCGACGACGAATACGAGGAGGAGGAGGGGCGGAGGGGGAGGACGAGGGGAAGAGGAGGAGGAGGAGGAGGAGGAGGGGAGGAAGGAGGAGGAGGAGGATGGAGGGGGAGGAGGAGGAGGAGGAGGAGGAGGAGGAGGAGGAGAGGAGGAGGAGGAGGAGGCGGAGGAGGAGGGAGAGGAGCAGGAGGAGGAGGAGGAGGAGGAGGAGGAGGAGGAGGGGGAGGAGGAGGGGGATTAATGTGGAAGGGAGCAGGAGAAGGCGAAGGAGATGTTCCCCATGCGGGCCGAGGGAGTCGTAGCAGAGACAGGCAGGGAGCCTTGTCAGGCAGGGAGCCTTGTGGCCTGCGGCCCTTCCCGCCGCTGTGCTGGGGTTGTGGTTGAAAGGCCTCTTGGATGTTTTCGGGCCTGTTGGGGCCTCTGTTGGGCCTCTTGGGGGCCTCTTCGGGCCCCTTGAGGGGCTCTTGGGGCCTTCCGGGGGCTTCTTGGAGCGGGAAGCTCAAAATGCCGGTTCGTGGTCCTCTTCTTGGGCCTGCTTGGGGCCCTTTTGGCGCGTCTTGGCGCTTTTTTGGGCTCTGGGACGCCCAGGGGCGGATGCGTATCTGCCCCCCCCCTCCCCCCCCCCGGGGACCTCCCCCCGGGACCGCGCCCCCCCTCGGCGGGGGAGGGATCAACGGGAAGGGGCAAGGGAGACGCAGAGAAAGAGGACAACGGATGCGCCGACTGAGCGCACGCCGACAGGGGGTCTACACGCCGACAGGGTCGGCGGATTTTTAAGATCGACGAGGAGGGAGGAGGATCGATAACAACGAGGATAGAGGAGGATCGGTGATCGACGGGGAGGATCCAAGATCGAGAATGATCCAAGATCGGCGAGGAGAATCGAGGATCGAGAAGGATCTGAGATCGACAGGGGATGGAGAGGGCTCGATGATCGAGGCGGTTCTGGATGTTTTTTTGGGCGGCCCTCGGGAGTCTGGGGGGGGGCTCCTCCTGCAGATCGAAGATCGAGGAGGAGGGAGGATCGATGATCGAGGCAGTTCTGGATGGTTTGTGGGCGGCCCTCGGGAGTCTGGGGGGCCCCTGCAGATCGAAGATCAAGGGGGAGGGAGTGTCGATGATCGAGGTGGTTCTCGATGGTTTTTGGGCGGCTTCGGGAGGGGGGGGGGGCTGGGAGGTCCAGGGAGGGCCCGTTCCTACATGGAGGCGGCGACCCCCCTCTCAGCATTGCCCGCCCGATACCGCGGATGGATTCCGCGGTATATGAACTGGATGCGGCTGGCCCTGGCTACTTATGCAAAGGTGGTCGTCCGCACGGATAGTGCGCGCGCGGAGGGAGGGAGGGGAGAAGGGGGAGGGAGGAGAAGAGAGGGGGGAGGAGGGGAGAGAAGAGGGGAGAGGGGGAGAGGGGAGGAGGGGCGAGGGCGCACTCGGACCAGGTCCGATCCAGGCCCCGCGGCGGGCAACGAACGGCTGCGTGGGTTTCTTGTGGAACCTGAACCTGGTATAGTTTTCATCTGCGAATTGTTGATTGCCAATGCTTGAAATGTAGGTTTGCGAGACGAGTCATGTTTTTTAATTACACACATGTTCCTCGTCGTAAATTTTTGCATGCCAGGGGAGTGGACCACCCCTCTGAAACCGGACCCCCAGGATCTGGGCTTCCAGGCCCCCCAGACATCGTTGCCGAAGGTCCCTCGGCTCGTCCCGGACCTCCTAGGGCGCTTGGCCGGGTCTTGCCAGCAGACCCCGAGCGATCAGAGCGGTGATCAGAGAGGCCGAAGAGAGACCGATGACAGCACAAGAGCGCTCCAAGAAGGACCAGATGGGCTCCGGAGGCCTTCAAGACGGCCCAGGAGGCCCTCGACAGGACTCCGAGAACGCAGAAATCGGTTCAGTCCCTTGGGGAAACGTGCATTTCCAGAAGACTTCGGGCCTTAGCATGGATCGCCCCAAGACTGTCCAAAGAAGCCCCAAATGGGCCAGAAAGAAACGCAACAGGCTCACAAGGCCCCCAAGAAAAGCCAAAGAAGGCCATGGGAGGCCCCCGGGAGGCCACCAGGAGGGCCCACGTAGCCCCCGTAAGGTCCCTAGAGGGCCCAAGCTCCCCAGCACGGCCCAAGATGGTCCCATGACGGCTCGAGAGGGCCCCGAGCCGGCCCACCAGGGCTCCAACAAGGCCCACACGGCGTGTTCCACCAAACTGACCCGAATCCCGGGTTCGCAACCACATTTCCTGGAAATCTGTTGCGAACCCGGGATTCGGTGCATTCCCCAATAATTGCTTATTTTCGCGTGCCCCGTTGCGACCCGCCATTCCTTCGCATTGCGCACCGGGGCACTTGAGCCACGAGCCGGCCAGTGTGCGGGCCTACGAAAGCCTTTGTCGTCATTCACGGCCAGATATTTCTGCAAGCGTGTACGTACACATGAACCCCCCCGACGGCGCCATCTCTTTCCCTCCTCCTGCTCCTCCTCTGGGTCCTCCTCCTCTGGGTCCTCCTCCTCCTCCTCTTTCTGCCGCTCCACCACTCGTCCTCCCCCACATCCGCTTCTCTCTCCTCGCAACGCGAAATTCCCTCCCTCATATCCTTCGCCCTCCACCCGGCGCTTTCGGGAGCCCCCGGAGGCCCAGGAAGGCCCAGGGACCTCCCGAGCTTTCGAAGACTTCCGAAAACCATCGCAGGGAAGGGGCCACATTTCCAAGGCCACTAAGGATGGCGCAAACGACCAACATATGCAAAGCCTCAAGGACCAAGGTACATGGCGTGAAGCGCCAACGCAGTCTTGTGTATATGAATATATCCTCATACGCACCTCTCCGAGGGAGTAGAGCTCAGAGGCGATTAATGCGCACGCGTCCGCGATTTTTCTGGGCGTTTCGCTCGGGACATCCTCGAAATTCTGAAAATCGGTGGCACCCCTCACGCAGATCGCGACGTCAGGGTCCAAAAGCACATGGGAAATTCAACATGTTAACATAAAACCTTCAAAAACACATGGTAATTTCAATAATTGTGACCCCGATTCTCAGTGAATGGCGGTTTCGCTTGAAAAATCCTTCCAAAATCGAGCCCCAGACCCCGCCTCGGAGCCTCCTGGGGGCCTCCTGGAACCTCCTGGGGCCTCCTGGGCCTTCTGAACCTTCTGGCACCCCAGACCCCGCCTCGGAGCCTCCTGGGGGTGTCCTGAAACCTCCTGGGGCCTCCTGGTACCTCCTGCGGCCTCC